CATTGGATGTCACCTGGGAATTGGTTGCGGCAAAGCGGTATCTGGCATGTCGTCGAGGTCGTGCAACAAATCGCTGACCTGTCCCTGCAGCAGGAAGAACAAACCTGCGTTCATGAAGATGGAGTTTGTTCAAAAGTGATCCTACCCATGGAGTATTGAGTGCCGGCTGATAGTCGCGAATATACTTGGTTTCCCATGCATACCTGTCCAGTGGGTCTGTAACCTGACACAGCACTACTCCAATGCCACGATAGAAGTCTCGCGGGGACGCCCACACCTTCAAGGCTGGTTCGAAGTAAGCGATGCGAGCACGGCACAATTGAAGGAACTTCCTGCGACGAGACAATTCCCGACGATGCACTGTATGTGCCGTTGACCCAATGTACAGTTGGGCTGCCGATCCAGCTCCGATGTAACCTGTCCGGGCATAGATCACACCTTCCTGCACATGCCACTCCCAAGAATAGTCCTGCGGAACACCATTGACCTGAAGAAGATCACGAAGTTTGCGGAAGAATTTGGTGGACAAGAAACCAAAAGAGGATCGCACTGCCTGTACAAAAAGTCGAGCAAGAACCCAAAGCAAACGATCAAGCACTCGGTGAGGAAGAAGTCGAAAGAGTGCTGGGAGAATCAATGCAAACCATCGAAAGAAGCTGCGAAGAAATTGGACCATCTGAGCACGAGACACTGCTTGATCAGATTTCGTCGTGCTACGGGGTCCCTTGGTCCCTCCATGCGGATGCTGGAGTCACTCCTCGCCTATCACGAAGCACGTGGCAATCAACATAGAAAGAGACTTCTCTCCAAGCTTTGATGCCGTATGCACCGGCAAACCCCATGAAACCGCTATCGAATCAAGACGAGGTCTGCTGCCAGGGGATACACGAGACATTGCTGCTGCAAGTTCGTCGGAGGCTGTACGAACCTGAGGCATTCGATCCTTCCCCACCTTGTTCGTAATCCAGCTGTTAATGGTCGCAATCTTGAGATTATCAAGCTTGCATTCCTCCAAAATGAGTTTACCTGACTTGCAGCGAAAAGTCTCCACTGTGTCAAGAGGATCAGCATAATCCGGGTGTTCTTCTTCTTCAAACTCTTCACCCTCAAATGCCTCAACCTCAGGTGAGCCTGCAGGTGATCCCGGGGGGAGGGTTTCCAGTTCAGCTGGAAAATGCTGATCGAAATCCTCCGTGTCCACAGCTTGGTCTCCTGCATCCTTCAAAACTCCCCAACATGCCTCCAAACTGCGAACAGGTGGTTCAGACGGCTCCTTGTTGGCCTTGGTCTTGGATCGCTTGTAAGAATGTGGGGGAGGGGCAGAGGCCGAACTCTTGGGAGTAACCTTGGACGGAGCGGTCGAGGGGGTCCTTTTGGGGCCTGCCGTGGGGAGTCTCTGGGGTGTGGCTGGTGCATTCTCTCTCGAACCTGAACTCTTCAATCGAGCATTCTCGCGCTGCAACTGACGAATCTGATCCAACATAGATTGATTGGCAGCAGCAGGTCCTTTCTGTTGGACCACCTTAGCAAGCTCGTCAGCCAACTCCTTGATAGCCACATACCGGTTGTCCCAAGTGTACGGGTCCTGACCTGGGAACTTAGTTTTCACTATATGAGTGAGCGTAGCATTGAGATCCGGCCCTGGCGTGCTCGAAGAGTCACCCCGTAAGGCTCGCATCAGAGTACCTGCCATGATAGCTTCCTGTCGGGACTTGAAAGCTTCAAAAACTGTGTGACGACCGTTGGCAAGGGATCGAAGACCCCAATTGGTAACTCCTCCAGTCATTACCTGACAAAGCTTCACGTCCATGATGTCGGCACCATCGATATGCAGATCCCTAGTAAATCGGTTGGACAACACCTGACGAGGCAAGTTCAAAACGTACTCCCGATTGGCATCATATTCTGTGTTTGTACTCTGCCAGGTTCTCGGAAAAGATGGGCGATCCCTTGGTTCCCTGACAGGCATTGGTTGAGATCTGCTGCGATGCCTCCGGTGATGTCCACGCACTCTGCTCCGGGATCGAGAATCCCGTCTACGATGCCGAGGCTGCATGATGCACGGAATGAACCTAAAGAGTCTTTGCAGCCTGAAAGCTTCGACGACTTCCACATTGCTCATGAACGCATGCAAAAGACTGGGCAACTCGAGCTAGGCACGCTAACGAAAATGCAATTGTTTCCAGCAAGAGATGACGGCTGAAATCTGGTGACAGGCGAACCTGCAACGATCCTGACGGGAGAAAAGTCTGCTCCGAGACTTCACCTGTTACAATGGGATTTTCATCCCAACCTCTTCTTGACCTCATCAGCATGTGTAGGTCCTAGGTGAAACAATGGTCGGCCCAGCTGATCACGAAGTGGTTGAAACTGTTTCCGCACTGCAATCACGACGCTGGAAACGGTAGTCAAATCCGAATGCAAGAGCCACTTCTTGTCGTGCTTGAAATGCACTGCTGCGTGGATCATGCAGGCTTGCTGCGCGTCTTGACCTCCCCCTGACTCGAGAACACAATGACTGTTCGGGGTGGAGACCATACCTTGAAAGATCGCAGGACATTGCCACTTACCTGACACAACCACCCGATCCAGTACCTGAAGTTGGCTCTCGTCATCGGTCCAATTCGTTGCTTGACTGTTGTGGCCTACAGCGCCGGGGCCGTCTGCGATAGTTGCAGGGGCCAAATATCTGGAATTCAGAACGCCCTCAGCCCCTCCCGAATTTGTGCCGTGAGCAAAGAAAAGCGCAAAGCGGTGAACTGCAGGATCGGTGGGTTTCGTAGTGAAGAAGGTTTTCAAATGGTGCTTCCAATAGACCTGCTGCTTCGATTCATAGAAAGTCACATGATCAGATCAGACAGGTCCTCCACTGGGCTAGTGTACTGCTGGATCAAGTTAGCAAGGAACATCCATTCCATCTTCGGTGGAGCATGAATCCCTGCCGCCGTATACAACTCCTTCAAGACATATGCATTTCTCTCCACGAGATCCTGAGGGCAGGGTGTAACCTCAAAGGGTCAGCCCAACTGACCAACTTCACGGAAACAGCACCTCCAATCGCATCCTTCTCAATGCCATGTTCACTCTCCAACTCTTGCGAACTGTGCTTGAGTTTAGAGTCCCAAGCAAACCTCGGAGCATCGGTGGCCGAGGTGTTGGCCTGCACTTGTGTCTGAGGCGGGTCCGGTACATCCTTCGAGGAAACCGAACCACTCTGATGCTTAGCTGACCTGCGAGGCAAGGGCTCTCTCTTGGGGGCAGTCAGCTGGGAAGGTTCCTTCACAGAGGTGGTATCGGATGGGTACCCGCTGGCCGCCGGTGGGGTAACCTGATCCAGGGCTCCCTGCATTTGTGACCTATCAACCACCTGCTTCTTCTTGCGCTTCGGTGCAACAGGGTCAGCCGTTGCATTAGCCGCTGCTCGAGCTTGGTCACCCACTGAGCCACGAGCCTTTGTAGTGGACTTCGGACGGCCTTCCATCCGTGCTTTGGGCCGTGCAGCCCTGTTCACCAACCCTCGTGGTGTCAATTCCACATCAGCACCTGCAGAGGGTTCCTGAGAGGCCGGGATCTCAGCCTCAGACTCGTTGGAAGACTCAGGGCTCACTTGCTGGCGGCGCTGGGAAGCCAAGAAGGCTTCAATATCACTGGAACAGGGCACCTGAGATGAAATTTCCATACCTGCAGCGAAATCAGATTGCACCGACACGTCGTCACCTTCCGAGGCATACGGGGAATCATGGATGCCGGTGCAAGTGATGTCCACACCCTCTGCTCCCGAACTGGAACCAGTGCTTGCCATGGTGCTGAAGAGTCTAAAACTCTCAAGTACTCAGAGACGCTTGGTCACAAAAGCTGCATAGGGCCACAAATAATAGGGTATGACCCTGAAGCCTGGACCACAAGTCCGATACTGATCCGATTTGCTATGGTAAGCTCTTCGGCCCACACCTAGAGAGAGAGAGAGAGAGAGAGAGAGAGGAGGCCACGACCTGGTGCTATGGTAAGCTCAACGCGGCATAGCCACACCGGTTACATGGATATTCCCAGCTCGAATCTGGAAACTGACACTGCCCTAACCGGGCTAGGTGTCCACCGGCGACAAGGCCAACACACGGGGAATGGTAAATTTAGGATAGTCAGCTTCTGCCACTTTCTATCTTCTGGTCAATGCTCACCTGAAGATCTGGTAACCTAAGCAAAGTAACTTGCCGAGGCTTCAAACCTACGAACAACATGCACACCGATATCGCTGAAGATCAGGTTCTCGGCTTAGCCTGATGCCATACGAGTGAAATGCAGGTACACGGAGTTGATCAGACTCCGCTTCCCCCATGGTGGATAGCTTCGTTGGCACAGGTACCACCATGGGCCTGTGCCCCCTGCTGCAAAATTGAAATAAAATGAAATGCCACAAACCCTTAGCTTAGAATCAGGGTGTACACACACACACACACAGAGCTACTCCCCTTTTTCAGGGAGTAGCCAAACCTGTACATGTGGGCTCACCACGATGGTTCGTAGGTCAAACCCGCAGCCGTCATGATGCCCGGAGTAACTTGCCTTTTGTCGTCGGCTTGGCGTGATGGTGCCCTTAAGCTGGCCTCATGGGTTGTCGTCTGGGGTGCCGGTCCTGCCCCGTTGAGGCTTGGTTCCTGGCCTCATGTGTGGTCAGCAAGCGCTTGAAGAATCTTCCTTTGATTCTTTGGTGTTTCGTTTTATGGACAGCGCAGTTGCAGTCTGTAGACATCGCCTTGCTGCAGCCACAGCTTTTGGAAACGCGCCAGCCAGTTCCCTTCAATCCTGAACCAGCCTCGCTGCCGAAGTTCCCACGAACTATGAAGTGCCCACGATTCTCGAGAAATGTGGGGCAACTCGTGGCCGGCCGTGCAGCACCACCGAATGAAGACTTTTTTTCTTGAAGTATCGGGCATTTTCCAAAGTTGACGTCTTTGTAAGTTCCATGCTCGGCCACCTCTGTTCCATGTCGTGGCCTCGAGGAAGGTGGAGATGATTGTGGCAAATGGTTGCCGAAGCTCGTCTCGCGGCTGATTGCGGAAGAAGATGCTGCAGCAGGAAAGCCTTCAAGGTTCAAGATGCATCTGGGCATGCTGGTGTACTCTCGCGCTTGTCGCAGGACGCGTGCAGATCCTCTGTGCTGCAAGAATTGGGCTGCCGCAAGTCGCGCCTCCTGCGAGTGGGAAGGGCGCCGGCCAGCGGCGGATGTTTGATGGCCGGCTGGTTCATGTCAACAAAGAGTTCCGTAAAGCCTCCCCTGCATGGTCGTGTTTCTGAGAAGTAAGGATTTCATTTGGAAGAGCTTACGGTCGAGCAGCTCGCGATGCAGCACTACTTCTCCTTCGAAGGAGGTGCATTCCAGTGTGGCATCCACTGCGAGGGGTCCATACTGAGAGACTTGCCTGTACCTCAGGAGCTCAGTGGAGGGTTTGTAAGCTGGGCAGAGAAGATGCCGCCTAGGTTTGGCATCCTGATGTTCGACGAGCTTTTTGATTGCTTCGTGGCTGCATTGCCCCGCATGCTAAAGCACAAGAGCTAGGTAGCAAACGATGCCTTGCAGGGCTGCAGGAACCACACGGCACAAGTGACCGCAAGAGTTCCGGCATGTGCCTAGAAGGCTCTGTGGCGGATGCCTTCGTGTCGTCCTTTCAGGACTGTGTAGCGGGTAAGTAGCCCGCTTTTGTGCATTTGCATGGCATCGCACAGGCGACCGGAACTTTCTGGCCTTGCTTTGTTTGGCTCAAGCGTTTTTCGTAGCAGGCGCGCGGCTTTTCAATGCTGCGCTGGAGAAAGGCTCTTAAGGCCACCATCTGTACGGCTGTGTGCTGGAGATTTGCGCCCTCGCGCATTGGCAAATTTGGCAACCTTGTGACGTTTACAGCGACTTCTGGAAGCATGTCCTTCACAGGGCTGCCGCCGGGTCCCTATCCCGTCGGCGTGACAAGCCTACAGCTAGACGACCACAGTCGGCAGGATCCGGAGGGAGGCCCTCGCAGCCTGCAGACCGAGATCTGGTATCCAGCTGGTGAGGAAGCTCGGGAGTTGCCGCGAAACCGATTCTCCGAGTTTCTCGGTCGTGGGACAATACCAGGTAGCATCGAGGCAGCTGAGGCCTCAGATGCCATCGGGGGGTACCGATCTGGATTGACGATTGCAGATCTGGATGAGACTTGGCCGAATCTGGCTGTCCGGGATGCGCGGCTACGTGACCCAGCGCAGGAAATCGGCGGCAAGCCATTGAAAGATGGATGGCCTCTCGTGATATTTTCGCACGGTTCAGGTGCTTATAGGGCTAGCTACATTTTCTGGACTGAGTTCCTAGCTTCACAGGGATTCATAGTCGCAGCCTGTGACCATCCGGGCAGTGCGCGATACACTCAAGTGAATGGACGCGTGATCAAGCCGGGTGGTCCACGGAGTGAGAGGTCTCAGATGGAGGCAGATCGGCCCTTGGACGTGCTCTTCTTGCTGGATTCACTGGCGAAGCTTACAGATGGCCAGGACAGCCGCTTTGCCGGTCGAGTGGATGTGAATCGTTGTGCCTTGACCGGCATGTCTTTCGGTGGTTGGACAGCTGCTGCCGCTTTGGAGTTCAATGATCCTCGCGTGAAAGCTGCTCTTCTCATGTGCCCGTCGCTCATGTCCGCAGACGGTCGACTCACCAAAGAACGTACAAACTGCCATACTCCGCTGATGGTCATGATTGGGACCGAGGACACAGTGATTGGAACTGAGGGTAACGCTCCTCGGCAAGAGAGGAGGGATTGGGCTTGCCGCACCTGAATTCTCTTTGATGTAGGTCACAAGGGGTCGGTAGGCGCCTGTCCTAGCTGCATGGACTATTGCTTGCAGCACCAAGGGTGCATGCTAGGCAGCGGAGCACAAGACCTAAGCGAATGTTGCGTTGATGGGATAACAGAGGGCAAGCCGGGTTAAGTTGCATGCAAAAGTTTCGCAGCGACGGGTTCGACAGTAGAACAGGCGCTCTGCCGAGACTTTGTCCAGAAGCCCGAGGGTTGCAGCTTTCTGATGGAGATCAAGCGCGGAGGTCATTGTAGCTTCACCAGCTGCAGCTCGGCTGTTCGGCAGGATCTTTTGCTCTAGGCTGTTTACATCATCTCGAACTACTGGTAGAGACGTGCCAGGCGACCTGTACAACCCGGCATACGGCAATGGGATCGGAGAGAGCAAGAGTCTTTCCAACCCTGGCTCTATGTACATGCCCCTTGAGATTTCAAAGCAGCACGAGATCATCAACGGCTACGGCCTTGCCTTCCTAGACAAGTTCATCCGCGGTGGGAATGGCTCCTTCCTTACAGAGAACCATTATCCCGATGAACTTGTGTACAAGAAATCTTGAGAAGCCTTGCTTAGCCGGGCAAGTTTGAAAGTGAGCTACCTTCGCCTGCCAATACCTACCAACCAACCAAGTCTCGATTACCCGCATTCAGTTAGGACCGTCCTGTTTTGTGGTTGCCTTGATGTGACCCCGGGGCGCCTCCGAGTCGGGTGCAAACCAAAGAGACTTGATGCAGCGAAGGGCCGAAGGGCAGAGGCGCGAGCGAGAGCAAAAAAGACCCTCGAGAGACTCGGTGATGTGGCAGTGACAACGCCATCAATACCTGGAGACCCTGCAAGAGTTTAGGCTGAGAACTTGGTGGTTTCAGGGTCTCAGAGCGGAACTCGCCAAAGACAGCATATGAGTGAGCCATTAAATTCCCTAAGCACAATGCTCTAATGCTGTCGCGCGCCTCTCGACAATGGCAAAGCCTGGTGGAGCTGGGAAGGCCAGGGGCATTATATCTCGATGTGACAAGTATGAGACAGTTGATGGTCCCGTAAGCCAGGTGAAAGCGTCCTTGCGATGTGCTTCTCCAGAGCCAGAGGATGATGCCTTTGGAAGCTTCAGACGCAAGCGTTGCAGCCGAAGCCGAAGCCGCGGCAAAAGCCGCAGCAAGAGCCGCAGCTACGAGGAGAGGCAGACGGAAGCAACAGTAGAGAAGAAGCGAAGTGGCTTGGTGAAATTAATTCCTTTTGTTCGGGACCCGGCTCACGGCTCGTTTGTGCAGGAAGCAGCTCTGATCCCAAGGACCAAAGGAGTTTGCATGGATGGATTCAGAGGACGAAGCATCTGACAATGGCGACGCAGAAGAAGAGGAGAAGCCAAAACAGAGACAATCGCCGAAAGCCGACGAGAGGCTCGAGCCTCCCCGTGAGAGGATGCAGTGTGAATGTGCCGTGTAGTCCGTCAGATATGACGTGCGGCTCACGCAGTGTTCCAGGAAGGAAGACAGCGAGCACGAAGCAGAACGCAGATCGCCAGCCCCGACGACTGCAGCCGAAGTGCAGACCCTGGGTCAAATGATGCGTCTTATGGAGCTGCCCGCCTGCACGGTTCTGATTCTGTGACTGGTGAGTTGAGAGGATCTGCAGCCAGTCGCAGGTCTTGGCAAAGGCAGCGTGGCAAGATTCTGCGTTTGCCCATGCCGGAGCTGTCGGAGGTTTGTCAAGCAGCAGCGCGGGTAAAATACTACGATGCTGGGAGCTTCGCCGACATAATGGCCGCTGTAAAGGCCCGCACTGTCGAGCGGTTTGACCACTGGTTTTGTACATGACCTGTGTCACGTCTCAGAGCTGCTCTTCGTCCTTGCCCAGCAGGTTCACCTTCGAGGTCACACATCGCTTCGTCCGGAAGATATTGCCGGGGTGTTGAGTGGCCTGGCGGATGTGAATGGTTACGCCTCTTGGACTATTGATCATGCGGCTGAGGTGGTTGCAAGGCCGTATGACCAGCATTGACATGTGAGCCAAGTTGTCATCAATAGTATCATTCAATAGTCAATAGTCCTTGCGCCCCGCGCACAGGAAAAGGAGCTGTTTGACCTGGCCGCTCAAGCGCTGAACCGCACGACGGGCCAGATTCTTCGGCCTGCCAGGAAAGCCATCCTGGATGCCTTCAAGAAGGCCTGAGCTTGGAAAGAGGGGCCGGCTGTTTTTAAACTAAGCTCGAGACAGGAAATCCTAACATGCGGGCTCAGAGAAGGTCAAGCACCGAACGGACACCCACACGGTTCTTCGGGAGATGTCCGAGCAGGAGGCAAAAGCACGCTACGAGGACAAGTGCTATGAGGTGGCGGCGAGCTGGCAGAAGCCAGGCGCCTGCTCCACCACTTGGAGAGGCTTCGGATAAGACAGCTGTGGAGGAAAAGTCCGCAAGTGCCCAGGGCATGGCGTTGCATTGCTTGAACTGCTACTTGTGGTGCCACACTTGTGCAGTCGATGTGGGGTTGCACAGGCTGTAGATAACGGCTGCACCGAGTGTGCAGGATGCACCGCTGGACTTGGGAACAGAAGTTGCTCCTATGCAGCTTCAGCTGGGGTGGACGTGCCTTTTCCGGTGCAAAATGCAGGGAAGTGCTGTGCAGAGTGTGCAGAGGCATTTTACCCTTCCAGAGTTTCGAGCATCGAGCGGCGTCCGGGCCTCAAACAATCTGCAGCTATCACTCGTGAATCCATATTGTAGCTTCTCTAGTTTGAGCAGCTTCCACCGCAAAGACATTTTGTCCCGAGGCTTGGCCAAGCTTGAGTCGATGACTCACCGAATCATGGCTGCAGCCGGCTGTCGCATGACTCTGACGGCTTGATTAATACTGCCAGAAATCGACGAGCCAAAGTTATCCGATTTCGTGCCGAGCTTGAGTGCCGAGGTGAAGTCGCAGAGGATGTGCGCGCAAGATTCGCAAAACTTTACGGTTGTCGAGTGCGTGGGGTTCGTTGGGATCGGTACGAGGGGCAGAGCGGCGTTTTCCTGCACCTTGTTAGCGAGCGAGCAGTTGTGGGAATTGTGCGGCGTGGTGTCGTGATCACGAGAAATCACGAGCATCGTGATTCATGGCGCAGGAAATGACTGCAGCATGCGGTGATCCTGGCAACCAAGGCAGATTCAGGGCACCGACAGTCTGGACACAACACCTGGAAAGAGCGACACCGACGAAACCGGGGATGCCTTGCGGCAGCATTTTGCAACGAAGTCTTTCTTGGGTTTGAATCCTGTGGCCCGTCTGGTCATCCTTAGGATGCGGGCCAAGTGCAGAGTCAGAGCGGCAAAGTCCGGCGAGTGCTTTGCACATCTCTGCCCAACAGAGAGGCTGATCTATTACGCAGCAGGGTGCATCCTGAGAGCTTCTGCAATCTTGCTCTCCAGTGAGCACAGGTGGTTCCGGAGGACAGAGATCTCTCGAGCGCTGCTGGGGCGATAGGAGGGAAGGCCCTTGCTGCGGCGCTGCGGCTGCTTTGCCTGGCTCCGAATGCAGGGACGTTTTCGTGTTAAGCCCATGGCAGAGCGGAAACATTCGCCATCCTTCGTACACCACTCGGTCTCAGGCGAGGATTATAACTCGGCCGGGCTGCCTGACTTGCTGTGGGAAGCCGAGTTTGCTGAGCAAGTACACACACGGAGCAACTGCCACAAATTTGTTCGTCACAAGGCTTTGGTCCTGGCACCTGGGCAGCGCTCCTCGTGCCCGATTCGTGGAGGTGAAGAGCGAGCGGGACAACCTCGCGAGGAGGCTAACTGGCTGAAGCTGGTCGTGTCATGTCGTGTCCATAGTCCAGAGTAATCCCGCAGGCAGCGCTTGTGGCTCGCAACCTTGCGGGGTGCAGGAGCTCAAGCGGAGGTACGCTGCGCTGTAAGTACAGAAAAGCTGAGCCGGGCAGTCGTCAGTCGTCAGGTGTGCCACGTGCGTGACGGACGAGTACAGGCCAGGAGCTGGTGGGATCTGTGTCATGCATGGGCATAGCCGCATAGCCCGAGGAGCACGAGACGAGCCGATTGTCGTCCAACCGTGGGCCCCGTCGAAGACGATCAAAGGGTCAAAGTGAAAGCAGCGAGGGGTTTTGAGTGCAACTTGGGAGTGCACTCCGCACATGTAGTCAAAGTAGACAGATGTAGGCAAGATTCCGTGATTCCGTGTCACGCTTCCTTCATCCGACCAACAGAAGGTGGGGCTTCCTGTTGCAGTAGAAAAGAGCTTCCTGAAAGCACAAGTCGAGCTGGCTCGGCCACCCATGTGCAGCGTGCCGCAGTCACCCACCAGCACTGTGACATGTTCGCTGACTGAGGTGGAGAACGAGATTCCACCTTGGGAGGCCAGGTGCTGGAAGATCTCTAGAGGGGTAATGATGTCCACGTCGTCTTGAAGTGTAATACCTCCAGAAGTGAAGGGACCCTGAGCCTGTGCAAGACGACAGCATCTGTTGCTCTTGTGACGATAGTGGTGCGTGGAGTCAGGTCATCGTGCGGCGATCATTGGACGTGCTTAACCGGGCGTCTGCCACAGGCTCTCACTGCACAGTGTCATTGTCAGGAGCCCTGCTCTCTCAACCCCGGCAGGTCGAAGCAAGCCCTTCCGAAATCTGATCACCGACAGGGACAGGGCAGAGCCTTCTGTGTCCCTCCCCACTCCCTCCGCTTTTACGAAACCCCTTCTAAAACAAGACAGCCTGCATAGAATCCAGGGTGGGCTCATGTAGCCGCACGTATTCATGGAGATCGCAGCGCCCGCGTCGAAGCAAGGCCCTGTCCCTCCAACACTTCTCCCCCTTCGGCCCCAATCTTCCGGTGTCGTCCAGGCAGGCCCTTACGTGAAATGACAATGATGGCAACAGCAAGAACGATGCGAAGTAGGCGAACGAACAGCTGTATCTACCTTGCCTCAGCGCAGTGTGGTCCGATGTGCCACACACAGAGGCCAACCTCATGAACGCTGCAGGATGGCACGACGAACAACTACTGCGATCGGTATGCATCCAGTGTGCAGTCGGTGCCCTGTGCTTTGTGAGAGAATGGCCGAATTGTGTGATTGAGGAAAATGGTAAAGAGTTTGGTGGAGACAGCTTGCAAGCAAGGTCTGCATACAATGCTGCATGGCTCTCCCACTTTGCCCGACACTGCGTCGACAATGCCGCGCCTCGGCCGCAAAATCGGCCATTCTCTCACCGTGAATGTCTTGATGATGCCACGCGTACTCAGATACTCATCTATCACGATCCTTTGCGTCGGAAGTGAAGTCTCAGTTGTTTAAGATCTGGCCGCGGCCATGCTCATGCCTTAGCAGGTTTTTATCACGGCGGCGCCGCTTGGTGGAAGGCCGAGTGCTGAAGGCCTGATGGAGCTCTGCCAAGAACTGAGTGATTAAGCTCTTGAACACCAGCAGCGCGATGGTAATGAACAGCAGATTTGTCAGCAGAGTCGTCTTGCATCCTTCTGTTGACATGAGGTGTCGCACCGAGAGGCTACTTTGTCTACACTGGATCGGGCCTCAGAGACTCTTGCAGCAGCTCCGAGGGATGCACCAGCAGACTGGACATTCGGAGGCTCGAAGGGCCGTGAGTACTACAGTGCACGGCACCTGGACGGGTTTCAGTCGCTTCATCTCAGACGTGGTATTGCCGAGGATGCCACTCAGCAGCTTCTCGAAGCGGAAGAGTTGCCGAAAGAGTTTGAATCTCAGAGACATCACCTCCTGGGCCTACCTCCTCCGATCGGGCCGAAGAAAGCCCGCACAACTCCCTGTACGAGGCAACGGGAGCTGGTCGAGGACATGCTGCTACAGCCTGGCGTCACAACTTTGCGCCAATGGTGCACGTAGCATCACGTAGCAGCACTGCCACACGATGCAGGAGCTTCACCGACGAATTCTAGCCTTATGCCAGCAGCCGGCTCCTTGTACAGAGGGCCGCAAGATCCTTCCACTGTGCTCCGCAAAGACGTTCGTGGACCAAGGCCAGGGAACACGAAGTTTCTCGGCATTGGCTCCGGCCTTCAGCGCAAGTTCGGTGAGGCACCACGCTGTGGAGTATGTTTCGTCAAACAAGAATTGCGCTCATGCCCGAACGTGGCTGCTTGCCAGGTCACCATGGCCAGAAACGATCCAGCCGTGGTCCCATGCAAACCAGCCAAGGAAAAAGTTGTTGAGACTTGGGGCATAAAGGCCTTTTTTCTTGTGCACTGAATTTCTGTCGTCAAGGCTGGAACAGTACCGGAGCCCGAAAGCCGACGGTTCATGGCAGCTGTGCGACGCGCAACGCTCCCAAGACTGTTCAAGGGTATCGCATGTTCGTCGTGCATGTCGCGTGTTTGCGCACAGGTGAAAGAAGAACTGGATCCGGACGGAACAGGCGCGGACAAATTCCCTGGAAGCTTGACCATGTGCCAGACAAGCGCCCGCGTTTGTCAAGTCTTCAAGACGACTGAAGGCCTCGACTTGCACGACACCGGTGCTGGTCTCAGTTGCTCTGGACATGCCGCTGGAAGTCCTCCAACGGCATACAAGCCTCTTCTGTTGCATGCGGAGGCACAGACATGGAGATCTTTCCGCGGGTCATGGGTTCTTGCCTTAACTCGCTGCGCATCTCTCTTTGAAAAAAGATTTGACTGGAGCAAGGCTGCGTTTACGTTGTGGTTATGCAAGATGATTTATTGCGTGAGGTGTTATCCCTCGAGACAGTGGTTCCTAGCCGAGGTGGAAGACCGTCTTTCGACAAAGGTGACGGAGTCCAACGGCTGGACTCGAGCTGAGTGGCACCCGTGAGACGCCTGCAGCCATATTGTCTCAAGCGATGTCGCCGTGATTACTACTAGTATTGCTGCAAAGCTTCTGCATGTCGGCCAGTCTGGGCACCTCAGCGCAGATACACGCAGCTTGCGACGTCCGCCGAGCTCGCCATGGGCTCATGCACGCATCTCCTGCACCCACAGCCCTGCGCTCAGAAGTACTGTGACCGCTGTGTCGGATTGGGATGATCAAGACCGAACGATTAAGAATATTAAGAACAAGGAATATTTCAGAACATCTCAGAACACCCTGAGCTGCGCCGGCCAGAGGAACTTTCGACATGAACGACAAAGCTTTGCATCTTCGCACGCTTTCCCACTGGCAGTCTGCTGTTCCTGCGTGTGCTTACACAGCTACATGGCCTTTCTTCGGGCAGCATCCTGCCAACACCAGCCCTTGTCGGTGTCTGTGGTCGGATACCGTCGCTTTGGTTTGAGTGGTCATGATGTAACATGGGGGGGATGCTTTCGCAGGGGGGCCGTGGGGAGAGCAGGGATGGCATACCCCGGCCCCAGCACCTTTGCTTCAGAGAGTTGAGGCTTCCAGCGTGCTGTCGGCAACGAGGGCTGAGAAGCGCTGAGGAGGTAGGCACAGCCACGTTGATGCCGAAGCAAATGCAAGTGTGTCCCATCGCTTTACTGTAATTAAGGCAAGGAGCGGTCAACGAATGCAACCATGTGCACACGATGTCTCCGCTAAGTCGTCCGCACTAGTCACTAGCTGCTTAGCTGGTCTTGTGGTTTTGAATGTCGACAAACGGCGGAAAGAAGCCCTCCGGCAAAAGGCGGTTCCCAGCTCAGTTGAAACAAGCGAAATGTTTCTGGAATCACTGCATCCCCAAAGCCGAAGAAAAGACAACTTATGCACCAGGATTGTCTTTCGGCACCTTTGTTCTTGTGGTTTCGTTTGCGCCTGTCTGTGCAAAGGAAAAACACAAAAATGCGGCTCTGGATGCCCTCGTTTATGTCGCCTTGCTTTGCCTTTTTGGCGCCTCCTCTTTTCTTCGTGGAAGGCGCCAAAGAGAGGCGCCAAGAAATAGTCGGCAATCAAAAGCGCAACAAACTGACGAGCCGTGCAACCCGGCAGCCGAGGTCATGCTCACCGTCCTTTGAGCCATTGGAAGGTCCCCTGTCGGCTTCTTTCGCGCTGGAGAGAACAGCATAAAGTACAGAGTCTTAGAGCTATATCGAACTCAAGCTGCTTTTGGCTAGGGTCTTGGCTCGAGGAAGGGATGGGAACGTGCCTAGGCAGTCGCGCAGCGGCCTTTGCCTCAGACCATTGCTGCCCATTGCTTTCCTCGGTTGGCTTAACCTGGAATCAAAGCGGTTCCTCTCATCAACATCCTTGGTGCTAGAGTCGTCGTCCCATCATCAGGCCAAGGCTCAAAGCGCAGTCCTCTGCCATGTCTACCGAACCTCTTGTATCCTCTGTTGACGAATCCTTGAGCATGAAGCTTGAACTCAATCTTCCAAGGCACTGGAATGGAAGCCGACCCGGCTGGAGTGCGAAGTCAGACACGCCATGAACTACAGATTGATATCTCCGACGCCTCGTACGATGACAAAACTGGAGCAGACTCACGGCTAGCTCCGCGCACATCGGCTCAGGCTCTGCAAGGCGGCGAGGCCGCAGATGCCAGAGGCTCCGTCCGCTGGTGGCTGCGTGGCGCATGCGGCGCAGCGACAGGGGAGAAAGCGCAGAACCGAGACCTGCAAGAGACCTGCATCTTCGCGCTCGTGCAAGCGGATGGGCGGACTCGTCGTCTCGTCAGGAAGATGGGCTCGGATGACGAGGTCTATGAAGGGCCGCCAGATTTTGATGACACTGCCTCGTGGCAGTCCTGGAGATCGTTTGCCAGCCATGGCTCCCTGCGACTTTCAAGGTCTGCGAGTGAAGCCAGCTGCCACAGCACCACCAGTGGTGCTGCCATGCAGGAGCTACTGGCCGGTAGTACCGCGGCCGCAATGAAGCTTTCCCCGATAATTCGACAAGCTGCTGCTTACAGGTGTCAAGGGTTCCACATGCGCGCAGGTTATCGCCTTTCCGTGGCTCGTTCACTGGCCAGCTGAGTAGGAAGCTGAGGTGATGACCATTACTTTGGTTCTGTCGCCGGCAGAGACTGGGCGACGTGCATATTCGCAGAGCACAGGTGCGAGGCGGCAAAGCTGGGGAAGTCGAGTGCCAAAAGAATGGTCAAGCCCTTGGTGCAATCATCTCCTACTTTGTGTGTCGGTGGTGAGAGAATAGACAGCAATGGATCTTGGACATCTTTTGCACTTGACGG